AGAATTGTAAAAGAAGACATCTAAATCATTAAGAGTGGGAGAGGGAAGCAAGGAAAGCCACTGTGGAAAACAGTATGGAGATTCCTCAAAAGACTAGGAATAGACTTACCATATGACCCAGGAATCCCGCTCCTGGGCTTGTATCCAGAAGGAACCCTACTTCAAAATGACACCTGCACCCGAATGTTCATAGCAGCACTATTTACAATAGTCAAGACATGGAAACAGCCTAAATGTCCATCAACAGATGACTGAATAAAGAAGAGGTGGTATATTTATACAATGGAATACTATTCAGCCACAAAAACCGACAACATAAGGCCATTTGCAGCAACATGGATGTTCCTGGAGAATGTCATTCTAAGTGAAGTAAGCCAGAAAGAGAAAGAAAAATACCGTATGAGATGGCTTATATGAGGAATCTAAAAAAAAAACCAAACATAAATACAAAACAGAAACAGACTCATAGACATAGAATACAAACCTGTGATTGCCAAGGGGGTGAGGGGTGGGAAGGGATAGACTGGGATTTTAAAATGCAGAATAGAGAGACAAGATTATACTGTATAGCACAGGGAAATATATACAAGATCTTGTGGTAGCTCATAGCGAAAAAAAAATGTCACAATGAATATATGTATGTTCATGTATAACTGAAAAATTGTGCTCTACACTGGAATTTGACATAACATTGTAAAATGACTATTACTCAATAAAAAAATGTAAAAAAAAGGAGAAAACTATCATTCCATCATTGAAATAAGTGGCTATTAATCTTTTAAACATTTTTCTTTTTTACTCATGTCTCAATATACAGTTATGTATCTGCTTTTTCCGATTATCATTATGAGTATTTCCCTGTATCACTGAAAACTCCTAAATATATTTTAATCGTCCAAGCCCAGTTTTTAAAAAGTATTCATATATTCCTCTATAATATCAAATTGAAGAACATTTCTTTGCTTAAAATAGGTTTATCATTGGAGCCACGAGAAAGATTCCTTCCCATGGTTAGAGCCTAGATCTGGACCTTATCAATAATTGCAATTCCTTCATAATCTTAATTTCAAACATCTTCTCTGACTACCCTACTCCAACAGTCTACTGACCTCACTGGGATGAATAATCCACTGAGCTACTTTTTCACTGCTTCTCCCTGTATCACTGAAAACTCCTAAATATATTTTAATCGTCCAAGCCCAGTTTTTAAAAAGTATTCATATATTCCTCTATAATATCAAATTGAAGAACATTTCTTTGCTTAAAATAGGTTTATCATTGGAGCCACGAGAAAGATTCCTTCCCATGGTTAGAGCCTAGATCTGGACCTTATCAATAATTGCAATTCCTTCATAATCTTAATTTCAAACATCTTCTCTGACTACCCTACTCCAACAGTCTACTGACCTCACTGGGATGAATAATCCACTGAGCTACTTTTTCACTGCTTCTCACCTGACTTATGCCCTCATTTCCTTTCTTATCCAGACAGAATTGTGTGGTCAGTTATTTCAGTCACTCCCTTGCATACACTCTCATCTCTCTTCCACTCTCTTCCAGCTGAGCCTCAACCTTGGTTAAACCCAACTCTTCACCTACTCTGCACCTCCCCTGCAGCCAGATGTTCAAGCTCTGCCTTTAATGCTATCTCTACAGACGTGCTGTGGGCATTAATTCTCCTTTCTGCTTCTTCTCTGGGTGCCCTATTTGGTGGCCATGCTGCTGCTGCTTAGGTGCTCTGCTGTCGCCCACCCGTCCTCCACCAGCCAGACTCACTGGCCTATCCTGCATTCCCTCTTGGCTGCTTTTCCCAGATGATTCGTTTCTCTTCCCAGCTTTCTAACCTCTGTCTTGACTTCTGTTTGTTCTCTCTCCCTTCTCTACCCACCCGCCTCTCTGCCCAACTCTCCCGACCCCCAAACCACGGAAGGAATAGCCTAATAAAAATGAATGAGCCATGAGGGTAGCATCTGGAGCCTCAGGCTCCTGTCCTGCTTGGGGACAGAGTGACCTTGGGCCAGTCATTTCATTCTTTGGTTCTTAGTTTCCTCCCCATATAATGATGCACATTTGGTTAAATAAATATGGAGATGAGTTAACGCAGTTCTTAAAACAAACATGATTCTGAAAGTTAAAGAAAGGAAAAATTTCGCCAACAGTCCCGCTACCCTGATTCCCTCACTATACCATCCTGCTTCCATCACTAAGATAATGTTAACCATCTGGTGAGTATTATTATTGTTATTTTAGTGCTGAAACTTTCCTTGACCCATCCATGCTTCCCACCCAGTAACCATGATGGAAATCCAAACACTCACCGTGAATTTCTCATAGAGCTCATAGGTCAGGAGGGGGTTGGGGAGCTCCCTAAAGTAGAGCTTGCAGAGGGAGCCCACACAGTGGATGTCCTGGAGGTACACTTCCCTTGTCAGATCTGGACATTGATCTGAGCCAAACTCTTGCCTGAAACAACACAGACAGAGACATAACAATCCCAGGAACATGTGTTCCATGTCAGCAGCTACTTGGCTGCTTAGGGGGTCAAAAGACCCTAAACTGCTGACCTGACCATAATTTTGACCTTGATTCAAAAAGACCTTCTCGTCCAAGCACAAGGAAGCTACAGGAAGATTTCCACTTCAGGTCTGGATCATCCTTCCAGAAGCTGCTGGAATTAGCAAGCCAGAATCCCATTTACAAGTGGATTTCTCATGGTGTGTCTGTAGTCTCAATTACAAACAGTGGGGATACATGTAAACAATTTGCCAAAAACCCTGTTGAGATTTCAGTTTTTCCAAAATATTGTTCTAAATGAACTTCTCTTTCTTGGAGGAGAGACCAAAATCAGGGTGAGTCAGATTGTTATCATTCATGTCCACATATTCATGTCAGCCAACTTGTTTTATCTGGAGACTCAAACCCAGGGTTTGAGAACTTGAATCAACTTTCTCTTTGATGCTGAATGGAAACTTCTAGGATGCCTCATAGTGACTCCCACAGGACAGATGAGCTTATAAATATCTTCTTAAACAATCTATAGACGGGTGTTTGGAAACATTGTCAGATTCCAGGCCTTGTTTCTAATTTTTAAAAATTTCCTAACAAGGTTACATGAATATACTGCTTCAAATTATATATACTTACTAGTTAAAAATCTATTTAAAAGATGATAAACCTAAGCTTTAATACAGAAGTGAAGTTAGGTTTCTTGAGAGTATTCACTTGGTCAAACAACGAGTGACAAAGTCAGCCAGACTCAAGCCAGCATCTCCAACAGCTCACTGCCTGTTCACCAGTAGTCCGGTTCTGCCCCTTTAATAAAGGGAAGGGAAATCCCTTATGCTGTCAGAACCTGAAAGGAACTGAGTGAGGCCTTGAAAAGAAAACCATGCAATGGCCTTATAAATTCATAGGCATGTGTTTTTTACGAGGGCAGAACAAAAACAAAAATTTCCCTTGTCAAGGCTAAGGTCAATCCTTAAATGAAAAAGAATTGGCCCCTGTCCAAGTGTCCTTCCCTGATACCAACTGCTGGGTAGTATATTCCAGAGCTAAGAGCAAACCACTAAAAATACTTGCTGCTGAAATTCTGAAAAATGTCACATGAGTACATTAGTGAAATTATATAAGCATATAAATTTGTCAAAATCTATGGCTGCAATAAATCAATTACTTTTTAACAGCTCTTACTTCTCCAGAAGTAAAAAGGATGTTTTATTCCTTTGATATAGTTTTATTACAGTGGAGATTTGAGGGGGAGGGACAGAAAACCAAATAGGAGGAAGAAAATAAAAATGAATTGCACAATGTATTACATTTTATATACTAATTTTGTGACAAGAATGTTTTATTATTTTAAAAGTCTACATTTATAGCTAAAGAGCATATAGTAAATATATAAAAATAATACAATAAAGTATGTTCTTTTGATATTAAAGAACAATATTCAAAATAATGAATCTATTGTTTTAGTCATAGAACAATATATTATATATAACCTATATACGCTGTACATAAGCTATATAGATTTATGTATACTCTATTTTATATATATAATGCATATAAAATATACACACACATATCTGTGTTTTATATGAAGATTATCGTCCTCTTAATTCAATGAGATAGAAATTTCTTCAAAAAAAATCCTAGGATACATTTCAGAATTGTTTAGGATAAATCCATAGGATTGGAAATAGTTCCTCCATCAGTAATTTTTAAAATACATGTATCAGTTAGAGAAATGCACAAGACTTCTGACCTCTCGACCAGATGAAATATCAAATGTTGAGTGTGTACCAACAGAAAAATTCACATCAATCTCTAAGTTCTGAAAACCATGGAACAGGGATATGAGCTTTGGGTTGGTAAGTGGGTGATAATAAATCATTTTTCCCCAACTTGTAATTTAAATCGTTTGAGTTCAATTGAATCTACCTAAGAAGGATAAATCTGGTACAAGACAAAGAAACAGAATAAAAGCCCTCAGGAGCTTTTGTTGGAAAGAATTACATCAGACTGGAGAGCTTCCTGATTGGATTAAGAACAGTCAGGCAGCTGAAAACATCAGCACTTGATCTTCTGTCCTGCCAAACTTCCCTCAATCCCTTCAGTGTTTAATAACCCCAACACCTGCAGATAAAGGTATGGACAGAGGAAAGATCATGGAAAAATTCTTCGGTGGGCTATTCTTTGACTTACCTTAGCCGCTGTATGTTTGAGGTGACTCCTGAAAGCCGGTAAATTCCATCCACAATGCCGTGAGTCTCTATAAATTCTGCACAGCTCTTCAATACATATGGAACTATGCAAAAGAAAAGAGAAAACAGTAAAGTATTAGACATAAGTCTGACTGTCTTTTAAAGATAGGCTTTTAAAAATCCAGGTAACTTCAAAAGAGAAATGAGTATAGAATGCATATGAGTTACAAGTGGAAACAATTACTTATAAATGGTAGATGATGTTCTTTGGTATTTAAAAAAAACATAGGGTTTTCTTAAAGTTTGGAAAACTCATGTGTTTTAAGAGTTAGGTTTTTTTTTCTTAAAGAATTTGAAAAATATGCAAACACTTAGATTTTGAAACCAGCGGTGACCTTGGAAATCCCACAACCCAACATCTTCATTTCACTGGTTCTCCCAGTGTGGTCTCCTGACTGGCAGCAGCAGCATCTCCTGGGAACTTGATGGGAATGCAAACACCAGGCCCCACTCCAGACCCACTGAGTCAGAGATCCTGGAGGTTGGGGCCCAGCCATCTGTGTTTTAAAAAGCCTTCCTGTGACTGTTGAATGATAAAATTAGAGAACTGTTGCCTATTCTAGCCATGAAGAAACAAAGGGGCAGGTAAATCTACTTCTCTCACTCAAGAGTACTGGTTGCTTATGAAAAGTAATTAACACATGGAAAAATGCTTATGATATAGGTAGGTAAAAGAAAAACAAGGCACAAAATCAAATATACATTGTGAATTCAACTATGTTTTAAAAAATTACAAAGGGAATAAAGACTGGAAGAATATCTGCCAGAATATTAAAAGTGATTTAAAGGTTAAAGTGTTTTGATTTTTTTAAAGGTAAAAACCAACCCCCACCCCACCACCACCAAATGGGTCAAACCAGTCATTGACTGAATGGACTACATAAAAGGGACCAACATGGCCTCTTGAATTCCTGCCACTCTAGAAGTCCAGTGCCTGGGTAGAAGAGTCTGCCTATGCTGTTCTCTCCTTGGAATTGACTTTGACCAGCCTAGCCAGCTCAGTGACCTAGAATGGGAGCCACAGGCCTTCTGGATGGCGTGGAGAGAGTGGCAAGTCACTTGACACTTTGGTCCTCAGGCAGACTCATGTGAAGTCCCTCCATGAGTGTGCTGTGGATGGTAGTTTACCAAAGCTTTGGGTGCCAAAGTCTTCAGGCATAGAGATGGTATTGGAACTTCATGAACTTGTGGTTGGGTTAGCACTGTGCCCACTCCCCTAAAAAATACCCAGTCCATTAACACCTTAGGTTAGACTAGTGCCTATCCATTAATGCTTAATGCACACGATCATACCTACACCTAATTCCAAGTTGGACTGGACCTTGACATGAGTAGATACTAGGCATTCAGACTCAACATTCTTCCTGGATTCACTATTACAATACTTTCTAAACAACTCTCCCATCATTTTCTTCAACTACTAACTATCATTTTAGGTGCTGATACCCACATCTCAAAGGCAGTGCACCCCCAGAGCCTCTCCCCTCCAGGACACATCCATATTTTCCCAGTGTCATTCGTGACCAACTGGTGAGATGTTTCTTAGTTACCCCAGGTGGAAAGAGGGCAGGGAGTGGACTTGGAAATATTGAGGCCAGAGACACAGAGGTGGAGCTACTCCCTTTGAGTGACTACAGGGTAGGATCAGGGTGTGGTGGAGGAGGGGCTGTGAGAGTGGGCGGGGTCTAGAGCCCCCACCTGGCTTCAACCAGAAGAGCTATACTCGGATCTATTTTATGAAATAGAGGTCTTGGTACAATTTTTCTCTCCAACCCTCATGTCTCTCAAAACATTTTATAAACAAACAAACAAATAAGCAAGCAAACAAACAGAGTTCAAATGCTATAAAAAGTTGTCTCATTTTTTTTTAAATCCCTATTGTGCACAAAAGGTCAGCTCCTTCCCCAGCACACCAGCTGCTGTTCTGTAACCTGCCACACGTGGTCACGGTTCAGAGCACAGGTTGGGACACCAAATTGCCTTTGTAGCCTTGGGCAAAATATGCAGTCATTCTCTCAGTTTCCATATCTGTAAGATGAGGATAACAATGATGTTAACCTCAGAGCTGGCGGACTGAAGTAACACCTGTAAACACTTGGCACAGACCCTGGCATATAATGAGTATTCCACAGTGACAGTTACAATTTCTACCTGAAGCTTTTCTATGATGAAATTTATAATTTGTGAGATGCAAGCTTGGTGAAAACAGTTCGCCTCCTTCCATCTGATGGGCAGCGGGGGGCGGGTTGACCAACCTCTTACCAGTCAACACTCACCTCCACTATTCAGAATGCCTTTTGCAGACTTCTCCAGTTCAGTGTTTCTATTTGAAGGTCATTTTGCTCACCTGTGGCTTCTTTTCTATGCATTGAGGTGTATCTTCATAATACAAAGGCAGCAGGGCAACAGGGTATGGATTTTGTTAGCAGTTCTGTAACTGTGCTTAACCTGGACGTGTTTGGCAAGGTGCTTCTGTACCAAGGTATACGGCTGTGATGCCACACAGGGCACAAGTGGACTTAAGAGCTTGGACCATTTCCAAGGAGGACTCAAAGACAAAAGCCTCAGCCTTGAAGGCCCTTTATAAAGAACACTCCACAAAAGGGCAGTGCAGGGTCACCCATCCGTCCTACCCCATCCTCAGGGAGCAGCTTGCCAGCACCATGGCCCTCAGCTGCAGCACCTCGGGCTCCGTTTGTTTTAAAGGTGGAGAACACATTCCCGGATGGAGCCTCTGACATAAATTTACTCTGGCTTTGGTACAGAGGCCCTAGAACCTCTTGTCCTGGATCTGTTTAAACAGGAGGCAATATTAAAACAACTCAGAGAAAAAGGCCATGGTCCCAGTCCCTGAGGAGTGTTAGCTTTCCTGGATTCTCGTCTCAGGCCGCGTTGGAAGACTAAGGAGTCTCCATTACTCTCAGTAAATGTGAAAGGACCCACTTGATCTCTGTAATCATCTGGCTCTAGAGTCAGAGCAGTGGTTCTCAGATTGTGGTCCCCAGGTGAGGGCCAGCAGCTGCTTCCAGGTGACTCTGATGCACACTAAAGCATCTCATACTCTAATGTGGATACAAACCACTGGGATCTTCTTAGCATGCAGATTCCAATGGGAGGGTTGCTGGGGGTGCTCAAGAACTTGCATTTCTAACAAATTCCCAGATGATTCAGATACACACAGTCTGCAACTCACATTAAGGGTAGCCAGGCTCTAAAGGTAATACTGGCCCGTGGTGGTGCAGGCGCTAATAAGAGTTTTGTTTCAAAGCCTCAGAACTCTTTAGACTATTGTCCCTGGGGTCCAATCAAACTGGGGGCACCCTAGGACTCTGGACAGGGTAGAAGCTTGGTACAAAATAGCTGAGAACTTACAGATGAAAAGAAAGCTTTCATTGTCTACTTAGGCCTGAAAGGAGTGATGTTGGAAGTCAGAGTCACAGAGCTAGTTCTGTGGGATTTATCATGAACCCAAAGAACTTTGTCTCCTCCTACAGAGGTACACACAGTTGCTGATTATGATGCAATATTATAACTTCTTTGAATTGTTCCACTGATGGTTCTCTAAGTCCCTTTTTTGTTTTGTTTTGTTTTTCCTGGATCAGCGATCTTAAACGTTAAATTTTAATCTGAGCACAAAATAAATCTTGAGGTGGTTTCTGATGGAAAAGAAAACTTTGCCTTTGATTTACGCTTTACAGTTTACAAAACATTTTAAACTTCTTTGTTACATTTGATCCAATCTGGTACAACTAAAAGACATTTTACACTTAGAAATAAATAAGTATAAATAAACATATGTTGGGGTACTCCTTTCCTCAATCCCTAACCTTTTCAAGGGTTTAGGGCAGAAAAGGCCAGCAGTCAAACCATTTCTCTGAATCCCCCCAGAAGTAATGTCTGCTAAGCTGCCCCAGTTCCCCATGTGGCTGAGATCTGATCAGATCTGGAGAGAGAAATTGGAACAAGTACAGTTTTATTTGGTCAGTTGTGTGGTCATGGCGGCCTCATTCTTTCATAGTGCAAATTGCATTTGTGTTTCAGGGAAATATGGCATGTCTCCATCCCCATTCTGGATTTTTGTTAGGGTCTTGTACAGGTCATATTTCACCCCCTCTCTGAGTTCTGCATCCCTAATCTTCAAAGTGCATACACATAATGGAATATTACTCGGCAATAAAAAGCAATGATAAAAGCATGTACGTGATAGAAGGCTGACTATGGAAGAGTACATACTATATGATTCTATTAATCTAGGACTCTAGAAAACACAACCTAATTTTTAGTGAGAGAAAGCAAGGAAGAGGAGGGAAGTGGGAACTGCAGAGGGGCAGAGGAAAGTTTTGGGAGTGATGGATATATTCATCATCTTGACTAGGGTGATAGAAAGGACCAAGGACCACTGGCAGATGAAGAAGAACTGATACTTGCAGGGGGAAGGTCACAGAGAGACAAGCCACTGAACAGGGAAGAAATCTCTGAGAGTCTGCTGCCGTGCACAGGGGACAGAGTGAGGACTCCAAGCAGCTCTGCTCTGCAGTGGATGAGCCCATTCTGCTCCCACATTTTTTTTCAAGAGATGAAGTAAAGATTTCAATCACTTTTCCATGATTCTTGATTGTCAGCAGAGAACTTCCTCGCTTCCCATTCCCATTCCCTGGGAATCTAAGAGCCATCTCAGTGGCTCCTGTACCTTCTCTCTCTGCCGGCTCCCAGTTTTTGTTTCTGTCCCATCCATCCTCTGTCCTGCGACTCCATCCCTCCTGTGCCACACTCCTCCCTCGCCTCTGTGAGTCTCCGCTTGCCTGAGAGCTCACTGTTCTTTGCCAATTCCCTGTTTTCACTTCTTTCTACTCTCTTCCTCCTGGCATAATGTGGAATTATAGAAAAGCCTGAAAGTTTGTGGTATTTATTTTTTTAAAGTATAATATTCTCTGTTCTTTAAGAGTATAATATTCTCTGTTCTTTACAAAAAGCAAGTAACTGCTTAAAAGAATTTTTAAATATCTTTAGACTTTCACCTGTCCTCCTTTGAAAAAAGTTTTTT